AATTCCAGCCATTATCCAAGCCTTAATTATTTTTTGATCAAATCAATTAACTATAGCCTTTGATAATGGACGATTTGATATATAATGAGATGTTATTGCTGTTTGTGATATTGAGGATGGTAAAGTATAATTTTTTGATTTTCGAGTGTAATTCGGATTTCTTTCAGCTACTTTTTCTTGCCAATATTATGATATATCATCTGAACAGTTAATACATTCATTTGCTAAATAAGCTTCTAATTTTGCTGGTTTTCCTCGTGACCATTTTTTTTCACAATAACCACAAGTAGCTTCATAATGTCCATTGCTTTTTTCGATTCCTTTAATAAAATAATCCCATACTTCAGAAAATTGATGAGACTTGGTTTTGTTTTTATTTAAGTTTTTTGGATATGTAATTGTTGAAGTTTGCGAACTAGAAATATCTATTGTTGAAGTTTGTAAACTAGAAGTATCTATTGTTGAAGTTTGTAAACTAGAAGTATCTATTGTTGAAATTTGTGAATTAGAAGTATCTGTTATAATAGAAATAGTCTCTTCTTCTGATTCTAAACTGGTTTCTACATTTTTCTTTAAAAAAAACCTATGTCTTTTTCGTGAATTTTCTTTGTTAGTTTCCATAAGTAAAAAAAATAAAAAAAATTACTATACATGGCTTACTATATATTATATGCGATTTTATTGGTTTATATTATTATATACAATTTATTGATTTACAGCTTAGATATTATATATAGCTTATATTATTATTTACGACATATGTTACTATATATAGCTTATAACTCTTTTTATATCTACGTCAAAAGTGATGTAATATTGTGCCGTTTGCCGTAAAGGTAGTTAGTTATCTTTAGTCTAAAAAATGTTTGCACCTTTAGTTAGAATAGCAAAAAATTATAGAGAATAAGGTCATCCACCTAAAAAATGAAATTCACGCAAGTCAACATTTAATCACCGAACATGATGTTATCAAGGTAAGGTTCATTTTATTTTTTTAAAGGTCTTCGAAAACTTATATTTTATTTAAATAGCATGCAGTTAAGAGTATCGCGAAACAAGTATTTTTTGAAAAAATATACCTGGACCCTAAAAACTTTCATCAAACAACTAAGGAATTTTTTCAGCAAGAACATTCAGAGTTTTACGAAGGCCTCACAAGAAAATGCTGAAAAACATATGAAAAACACATTCATCAAGTGGTAATTCTTATAAATATTAATAACTTTGGGTTCAGTAGTTATTAAATACCTTATTGCTTTAAAAGCTCGTGAAACAACAT